GACAAGAAAGCAAAAACAGCTTCAACTAAAGAAACTAAGATAAAAACTAAGGAATATAAATTAAAATGGGCAAGAAATAAGAACGAGAGAAAAATTCAAGAGATGAGCAAACAATACTAATTCAAGAAAGATATAGGCTAGATTCAAGTCGGGGATATCAGACGATGTTGTAGTGCTAAATGGAACTGATTTTCTGTAGTCTACGCGCCATATTCTTCCTCCAGACGGTGGCGCTTTAGTTTCACGTGCCTATGTTTGCCACAAAAATTTGGCCCCGACAGACAAAAATTTGGGAACCGGCGATAGAGGAGTTGTGGGGTCGCAGGGGAAGGGGACGAACAAAAGAGCACCAAAATAACTGAGAAGAAATGGGGAAGGTGAAATAACGAACTTGGAAAGAAAGAGACAATAGGAAAAGAGAGAAAAAGAGGCGTTACCTGTGTTTCTGTTGAATTCGCCGGCGAAGTGCAGAGAGGGTGGTAGGGAAGTACTACCAGAGAGAGAGAGAGGGGGGAGAGAAGGGATGTGTGAAATAGAGGAGAAAGAGGGGACGGACTTACCTTGTTTTCGGGGGGAGGGTTGTCGGTTGGTGGCCGGGGCTAGATTAGTCATAAGGGAGAGCAGACAGTAAAGAAAATATTAAGAGAGAGAGAGAGAGAAAGTAGATCAACTTCTAAAACAAAGACCTTGGTCGCTTTAGATGAAGTTTCAGAGGCTAATAATGACATCAAGCGATGAAGTTATAGAGTTTAAATTAGAGATAATTTTAAAAACATTCCCTCGCGTTTAGCTTCGTTACGCTAACCTCCTTTGTGGTTTACAATATTATGTCTACCTCCCTCATTTTGATTTTCTTGTAACAATTTATAACTTGTTATTTTGGATAATCATATCTTTATAATTTTTCAAAAGTGCCCTTCTCTAGCATTTTTTTTTTTTCAAAAAGGTTTTGCCCAACCTTATTACGTTAAAAGCTTTTATGCTACGTTGCTATTTCAGATCCTTTCTTCTTACCCCTATGTCAGAACCGTTCAACAAAACCTATGATATATAGGATGACTGATGCAGATGAGAGCGCAAGCGATGGTATGGGCTTGTGCCTATCTTGAGGAGATGATTTTCCCTTGACTTAATAGATCTGTTGGATGTAATGAATAAAAGCATGTGTACCCATTAATTATCAAGGCATTTCCTACTAATAAATCCCTCTCAAATAGAAAATTTTCTAAGTGTAATTGGATTATTCATGAACGAAGAGGACAATTTTTTGCTAATCACTATCAGAGAGCTTTCTACATCCAAGTACAGGGAACTTCATAAGAGGACGGGTTTGAAACTGTAGAATTTATAGGGTATACTAATCTATCTTTATTTATACTATATTAAAACCATGAATGCCCTATCGAAATATTCTTCGCTTTTTTTATCCTTTAAAAAAATTGCGTTAGACAAAATAGTCATTCTATTATTATTTCCTAGTATTTAGGATTTTGAAATTAATTTAACGTTGCCTATTAAACATTTCCTTATAACTTGAACTATGTAAAACTCCGAATATTTAGAAATTTAATTCACCTAACCAAGAATTTTTAGATCGTTAATAATTCTAATAAGGTATCCAAATCAATCTAGAACTCTCTTACCTCGAATAAATTTAAGTAGAAGTACATATAACAGAGGCGGATCCAAAATTTAAGGCTTATGGGTTCCTACCGTAATTTCATATTAATATACAATAATAAAGGGGTTCACAGTCAGATATTTACCAATATTTAGTAAATTTTTTAATATAAATACAAGGTCTACGCAAGAGTTACTAGGTTCCCGGGAACCCGTAGCCTATGCACTAGGTCCGCCCCTGCATCTAAGATGTAAATACGTAATAAAAATACTTTTTCTCATCTCTCTTGCTCTTCTTTTATGTACTCTTTTCTTTCTAATAGCTTTTTTATGAGAGGTAAGCTTTTAGTATTTTCCCCCATTATTTAGCTTCTTATTGCAGTTGTTGAACTCGTAATTTTCAATAATTCAAATCCATAAATAATTAATGTGACATTGAGTTATAAATTTAAGTAGAAGAGAATTGGATTCTCGAGGTAGTAAAATCGGTTAGTAATTGATGATACATTCTTTTTACTTTATAGTAGAGATGTAATTTTATTTTTTAATTACTGGATCAAATTTTAATGCAGTCATATATTGACTTCATAATTTTTGGAATATTGTTGATTATTTAATTAGAAATAGAATTCTTATTTCATATTTGTTGTCAAAAATCTTTATTGGAGATAGATTATTTATTTAATGATTAGAAGTTGATTTTCACTTTTGTTTTGGAAGAAATTAACCATAGACCAAGTTGAAGGAGTTTGAGAAGCACTTTGCGTCGGAGCATTAGAGCATTTTATGATAGGTTTTGAAGATTTAGAGAGCCAAAAAAAGCTATAGCCCAAAAACTAGGAAGTTATGAGAGTAATTCCGAATGTCGTAATGTGGTATTTGATGTTTTTCTTCAATTCATTCGTTCCTAATGAAACTTCTCGGTATAACTCAAGGGCGTAATATTTTTTTCTTTAGTCTTAATCGACAAATTATTATTTTTAAATTGATTAGGTATAGGAGGCTCAATAAGTTGGGAATAATTAAACGATCATGTTTTGTATTTGATCAATTTATAAAAATAGTAGTTGGTAAACAATCACTTTAAATTTTTATGCTATGTCCCAGAGGTATATGGTACCTAACAAAGTTTTTGAAAATTTGAATCAGAGTAAAAGTATGTTGTATTTTGATATTTATTTGTTATAGGCATTTTTTGTGCTTGATTTTTTTGTTGTCATTATGTTTTATAATTTGATGGTGTATATATATGTTTGATTAAAATATAGATAATCAATTTTATAAGGAATTTGCAACAATTACAAAAGGATAAAGTCTACAATATACGAGGAAGATTTGATTGATCCTGGGATGTCAAACTCAACGCATATTTTATTTTGAGTGTGTTTATTATTACATCTATTGTATTTTATGCTCGAGCATGTTTACGTGTGTGTATAATAATAAATATGATCGACTTTGTTAATCATTAAAAATATATTTAGTGCTGGTTAAAGTTGTGATTAGCATTAAAAACTCAAATCACCATAGGATTTGTTAATACAAAACATAGGATTTGTAAATCATTTTTTTTTTAATTTTATAGTTCCATCATTATTTTAGAGGAGTTGAGGCGTGACTCCAACCTGTATATATATCAAAAATAATAATTACACCGAGGAGGACATAGGCCTTGGCCTCCAAGACAGTGTGATAGGTGACAACACTCATCCTATGATACACAGTTGAACAAAAGTATTTTGCTTGTATGGGAAGGAAGTTGTGCATCCTAGGGCAATTTGTAGTAACACTCAAGGATGCTATATGCCAAAAGGTGTGAGAAAGAAACTTGCTGCTAGGTGTTGTCATTGATAACGAACTTGTTTTTCTTCTGTCTAAATCTGATGTTAGGGACCCAGTCAACTTATAACTTCATTGAAGCTCTAACATTCAAAGGTAATGATACAGCCTCATTGAAGATAGAATCAATTTTGGATTCTTCGCCCAGGCTAGCAAGCTTGTCAGCAGAGTTGTTTCCTTCTCTCAAGGTGTGACAAAATAGAAAGTTAGCATCCTTGGTCATATTGTGGATTTGTTCAATAGTATCTTTGAATCTCCAGGGAGGCTTCCTAATCCTTTTGATCAAGTTAAGGAGAATCAACGAGTCCGATTCAACTATAACATTTGTAAAGCCCTTTGAAATACACATTTTGATGCCTCGCATCATGGCTTTAGCTTCCGCAATATTACAGCTACACTCTCCATAGAACTCTGCAAAAGCACCAATTAAAACGCCATGGTGATCTCTGATAAGACCACCACCACCTGCCGTACCAGGGTTACCTTTGCTACAGCCATCGACATTAAGTTTAACCCAGCCCACTGAAGGTTTTTGCCAATAAACAGTCTGACAATGAATAGCAGGGGAAAGTTTTTCAATTCTGTTGTACGTGACCTGCCATAGGTGCTGGAGCTGAAGATCTGGGAAACTCGTCTGGATAAGTATATTTGTCATTTTGATCACTTGTTGGATGATGAAATGATGGGACATGCACTTTTCATCAAACCTAGCAGAGCATCTGTTCTTCCAAATTTGCCAGCAAATGATTGAGGGCAGGCACTGAAGAACTGTCTTCTGAACTTTATTTTTGGACATAGTCAACCACCACCTCATAATTCTGTGTCTTACTTGGCCTTGGACCAATCTGATACCACAGGAGTTACAGAAGAAGGACCAGACTAGATTGGCAATATGACTATCACTCAGCAGATGGTTAGTAGATTCCTCAGAATGTTTATTGGGGCAACAGTCACATATAGAAGCAATATTCACCCCAAATCTTTTAATAGCAACATCAGTTGCTACTTTATCCATTAGCACTCTCATCATAAAAAAGGAAATTTTAAAAGGAAGCTTTTTATGCCAAATAGTCATACCTGTTAGAGTAGTTCCTTTCTTTGATCTCAGAGTGTTCCATGCAGATTTGCAAGAGAAATCCCCTGAAGGATCCGGGGTCCATATGGGTCTATCTTCTTTATCAATATTGAAGGTGATGTCTTTGATATAGTTGACCACATGCAAGGGGAGGATTCTCCTCAATTTACTTTGATTCCAAGTATTTTGATAATAGAAATCCCTTACCAATAGTTCTTTTAGGAGTCTTGGTGTTAATCGTCAGGTGAGCCAAGGGCCCAAGTTCTGTCCAAGAATCCCACTAGAAGGAGATCTCCCCTCTTCCAAGGCTCCATGAGATATAAGGTTCCATCTTTTCTTTGATGTCCATCATTCTTCTCCAAGAATGAGATTGGCATTGAGCTTTTCTTCTTGCAATAGGATGAAACCTTTTACAATACTTAGCTTAGAGAAAATCTTTGATAAGGGATTTTTTAGTTCTAAATTTTCACCATATCTTAGCAGAGAAGGCATCACATGTGTCTTTAAGAGATCTGAAGCCAGCTCCCCCTTCCTCGACTGGAAAGCACATGTCTTTCCAAGCAATCCAATGCTTCTTGTTTTTGTTGCCATCCATACCCCAAAAGAAGTTAGAGAAGATCTTTTCAATCTGGGAGAAAGTTGCCTTGGGAGGATGTAACACTGATAGAGTGTGAAGTGGAATAGCCTGCAAAACAGATTTAATAAGAACAGCTTTGCCACCATAGGTTAGAAATTTACCTTGCCATCCTTGGAGTCTTTCGGCTATGTTAGCCACCATGTTGTTAAAATAAACAACCTTTTTCCTTCCTATATAGATAGGACATCCAAGATATTGCATTGGAAAGTGGCAGCGGTTGTATCCAGTAATCTGTTTGATTCGGTTGATTCTTATATCATCATCTTGGAAGTTGACATAAAAATCAGATTTGGCTTTGTTCACTAGTTGTCCTGAGATTTTTTCATAAGTCTCCATCTTTTCCATCATGATCTTCAAGGATTCAGGTTCAGCTGAGGAAAATAAAATTGTGTCGTCAGCATAACATAAATGAGATATAACAGGACCATGACTATCTATAGAGAAAGGGATGAATTCAAGATTATTTAAGGACTCCATTAATTTTGAAAAAAGTTCAGCCCTAATAAGAAAAAGGGAGGGAGATAAAGGATCCCCTTGTCTTAATCCCCTAGAGGAATTGAAAAATCCCTGTCTATTCCCATTGATATTTACAGAATACCAAATATTAGACATAAGTCTCCAAATCATATCAATCCAAGTTTCATTAAAACCAAAATGCCTCATAATATTATAGAGGTATTCCCATGAGACTCGATCATATGCTTTAGCCATGTCCACTTTTAGCACTACATTCCCATGAGTGGAATTTGTAATATTATGGACCATATCCTGAGTCATCATGATATTTTCAGTTATGGATCTTCCTTTGATAAAACCTGTTTGGTAAGGAGAAATAAGTTTGTCCATAAGGGGGCTTAATCTCTGGTTCATTAGACTCGATATGATTTTGCAGGAGAAATTGCCAAGGATGATAGGCCTTAGTTCATTGAAGGCTTGAGGATTATCCACTTTAGGGATGAGGATTAGGCAGGTGTGGGTCATGGCCTTTGGAATTTGGTTACCTGCAAAGAAATCATTGATCATTAGTAAAAGATCATCCTTAATAATATCCCAACAAGAATGATAAAATTTTCCAGAAAGGCCATCTAGTCCAGGTGCACTGGATGGGCTCATGGAAAAAACGACAGCTTTCAGTTCCTCCATAGTAGGTATGGTTGTGAGGCCTGCATTATCCATTTCATTGATAACTTTAGGAATACAATTAAGGATAGAAAAATTGGAGTCTATATGTTCTCTAGTGAATTGCTTTTGAAAGAAGGATATAGCTTCATTTGCAATACGCTCATCTCCTTCAATCCATGTGCCATCACTTAGCCTGATCTTTTTAAGAGCTAACCTCTTTCTTCTACCCTTGACAATGGAGTGGAAGAATTTAGTGTTCACTTCCCCCTCCACAAACCACTTGATCCCAGATTTTTGCTTCCATATAGATTCTTCAGTTTTATAGGCCCTGATAAGAAGAGCATTTATGCGGTTAAGCTCAGCTCTGTTGATATCCGTGTTGTTTGTAATGGTCTTTTGTTCAAGATCATCCATCTTCTTTTCCAGATCCTTGACATTGTCAAAAATATTGCCAATAGATGTCTTAGACCAATGGGATAGGCATCTACATGTGTTTTTTAGTTTCAAGTGGAATTTCCACATAGGGGAACCATGAACCTCTATATCCCAAGCCTGTTTCACCACCTCTTTGAAACCATTTTCGTTAGTCCAGAAATCTAAGAATCTGAAATATTTGATAGTAGGCTGTAAAGTATTCTTAGCAATAGTGAGTAGGGGTGAGTGATCAGAGCATGTTCTAATTAAATGATTGACATTAGTAGAATCATAGTTATTCATCCATTCTTGGTTAACCAGCACCCTATCTAGCCTTTTCCAGACTCTTCTGTTAGGAGACCACCCATTGCACCAGGTAAATTGTGAGCCTGAGAAGCCTGGGTCAATAAGATCACAATCCATGATAAATTGTATCACAGGCATGCTTTTGGACATTCTGTGAAGGTTACCGCCCTGTTTCTCACTTGGATCAATAATACAATTGAAATCTCCTGCAATGTACCAAGGGAGCTTATAATTCTGGGAGATATCCCTTAGGTTATTCCAGAGATGTTCTCTCAAACCAACATCACATTTTGCATAAACAGAAGTAACAAGGATGTTTGTTCCCATCCATTCAATTATACAAGTAACCTGTTAATCTGATTCCTCCACCACATTACAGTTCAGATCATTATTCCAGAAGATCCATAGTTGACTATTCATATTGGCATGAGCATTATCATAGCCTAGCATAGATCTGAACTTATCAAGATGATCTACCTTGTGAAAAGGTTCACTAATAGCAATGAAAGGAAGATTTTGGAGCTAGATAATTTACTTTAGTCTATCAAAAGCACCACTAGAGTTGATGATTTTAATATTCCAATATAAGGATTTAAACATCATGAATCAGTTGGAGAGGTTTTGTTCCTGTGGTATAACCACAGCTTGTTGATAGGTGAATCTTCCACCTCTTCCTCTGGGTTTGTGACTACCCCTCTTGATGTTATTTCTGCCTCTTCCTCTACCTCTAGGTGATAGGTGAGCTCTTTCAACAATCTTATCAATTTCAGAGCTTACATTTATCTCCACTAAAGCATTGGAATTGAAAGTTTCAATTAGTTGTACCGCATGATCATCAGTTGTATGGTTCACAGGTTGATCCTCATTCTGAAAGCTTTCACTGTCAACACTTTCGAAATCATCAGTTTCTTCAATGCTCATATCATCCTCATAGTCACTATCTTCTTCGCTGTCCTCTTCCCCGTCATCCTCAAAGGATGATTCTGCCATTTGAATATTATTGAAGATGTACATATTTTCACTCTCTTTATCCTCTTCTAAGCTGGTACCACTAATAAGTTTAAGATAGGTGTTATGGGCATCTCCTGGATCAATTGCATGGTTGTTTTTGTTGTTGTTTTGTTCTGATCCGCTTCTGCTGTTGCCTTCCTCCTCAATGAGATTGGTGTTGTTCTCACCATTGGTATTATTCTCCTGGAACGAGTGTCTACTGTTTTGATCATTGTCGATGGTAGTGTTGTTGTCTTCTTTGTTGCTAGTATTCTGCTCCGATGGTTTGGTTGTTGTATCAGTTTTCTTGCTACTTGGTTGGCCTTTTCCCAAGGTTGTGTTTTGGAGTTGAGCTTCATTGCTATCGATGATTTGGTTCTTCTTTTTCACTCTGACCCTCTTCTTCTTGTTAATATTTTGATCACTCCTCTGTATGTTGTTTTGTTTGGTTTCTTCCTCCATTTTGTTTTTACCTTTACCAGGTACATCTTCCTCCATGGGAGACATCTGCATCTCGGTAGGCTCATTGATAACTATTCCATTTTTTGCCTTACCTCTCAAATCTTGGTTCACTAATTGATGATTCTGGATTTGCCTTTCATTCGATCTTTGATCTTCCTGGTTATGCTCATTAGGTTTGTTGGCCATCTCGATATGACTACTGTTCTGAAACCTCACTTGGCACTCTTCTTCTTAGAAACCGTTTGAAATTCATCATCTTTTGGCTTATCTCTTTTGTGTTCCTTCTCCTTGTTGAGTTGAGCTTCCTTTTGAGTTTTTGTTCTTTCATCACGGATCTTGTTTCTGCATTGGCTCTCATAGTGACCTTGCATTTTACAATACACACAATAGTTTGGAACCTTTTCATATTCAATGTCAAGCCACTTTCCATCATCGGCTCCATCAACTTATAGCCTAGCCATATTTGATCGAGTCTAGGCTTTAAAAGATCAATTTCGACTTTAACCTTTGCAACATTGCCTTTAGATTTAGAATAGGTTGCCAGGTCCGGAGCCACTGCCACACCAACATCTTGCACTAGTCTAGAAACAATATTCCATTTAAATAGGTGCCAGGGGAGTTGGTGAATTAGGATCCAAACAGGAACAATGGGCGTTTCCTCCTCTGGTTTGAAATCCGGAGTCCACTTGAGAATTTTCATAGGGGCATCGCCAATGTCTATATAGTCCTTAGCAAAGACGTGATTGTAATCAACTTTATTAGCAAAATCGAGGTAAACATGCTTAGGGTCAAAATATGCTATCTTGACCGAGGCAGAGAGTTGGAATTGCCTAATGAAAGTCTTCCTAATTTCCTCCATGGATGGTTTACCTCGATAGAACTTACCAATGATGGTGAATCTGCATTCTTTTGCTAAATTAACAAAGTAATCCTCCGCCTTAAAGAAAACCGCCGGTTTACCAAGATGTGTGCCGTGTTGAATCTCAACCATGGTGTCATTCTCAGGAGATTTGAGGTTGGTTTGGACAGTGGCGGCAAAAGTTGGTTTAGAAACCAGTTGTTTACTTTTGGTGGAAGTGCTCCCTTGAAATCCCTCAGTTTGTTATTTAGGAAGGACGGGGTTGGGTATTTGTTTGCCATTTTGTGTTTGCATGATTTGTTGGGCTCCTTTAGTAAGGTCATTTGTGTGACTGATTTTGGGTTGGGGTTGATCGAAATTAGTAGAGATTTTTGGGTAAGCAGTGTGGTTAGTAATCTGGGTGTGTTTCTGGGTGATGTTATCAGAGGAATTGGGTGTTTGGTTGGTATCAGAAGAATTATGTTGGGTGTTTTCTGGTGGTGTTGTGACTGTGGCTATGATTCCGGTGGTGGTTCCAACGGTGGCCTTGGGGTTATTAGCCGTTGGGCTAGCAGTTAACTGGTCAGAGGGAGTTTTGGAGGGGGGGAGGGGGGTAGGTAGCTGAGTTGTCGATGTCTCCTTTGTTTGGTCAGGAGGTTCAGGTGGATGGGTGGGGTCTTCTTTGGTGTTTGACATTTAGAGAGAAGGGAGAGAAAACTTTTAGAGAGAAGCGTAAGGGTATTCGATGTGTTTGATATTTTGTTTTGCCTACTAAATCATTAAGAGTTCTCATCCTACATAATAGGCTATCAAGTATTTCCAAACCAACCACTATTAGTTGCAAAGTTGTCTTTGTTAGACTTGCTTAAGTATTACTATTGCTAACACGGGACAAACTTGCACGTTCATATTAAATTGTTCACCTTCGCAAGTCCAGAAGATACTTAATTATTTTGAATTCAGCTATTTTGTTAGTTAATATAATAAATAAACATTTTATCTTCTTTAACGTACATTGTTGTTTTACATAATTCCTTCCTCCTATACACAAATTTAATTTTGACACGGCATACACGTGCAACGCACGTACTCTAAAACTAGTATTTATAAGGAGCAACCTAGTCATATTGTAAATATTTTGTATTAATAATAAGTAGTTTAAACTAATTGTTTAAGAAAATCAAATAAGGAAGGTAAGCGTAATATTTATGAGGTTAGTGTGATGAAGTCAAATGCAAGGGGAGGTCTTTGAAATTATTTCTAAATTTAATACCTTAAGAAATAATCAGGCGACTTAAAAGATAACTTTGCAATGTCCCCAGTTAAAAAGCATTTGTTTTTACCAAATACTTACCGTAGTGTTTTCCTATTTCCTTGGATGGTAAAATTGAGGGACAATCTCCTCCTTCTGCTTTGTCAATCTTGATGAATACATACTTGGACATATGAAAGAGACATTATCTTTCGGAATCCATGATATATTCAAGGAGTTCGTACTACACCATTTTTTTAAAAAAAAAATTAAACATCAAAGTAGCCAATACCATTATAGTGATCAAGCATTCATTTGATTATGTGATTACAATATACAAATCTATAGAGCTGAAAATATGTAAAGAACTAGACCAAAACTAGACTCGAGGGAGCTTGGTGCATTCTAAATATTAGAACCAAGCTAACTCTACATTATTAAATGAGCTCACTTATTTACAAGACAAGCTCACAGATATCATAATTTTCTCAGTCAAAATAACGTGTAAACGAGAAGCTTACAGGTTCCCTGTAATTGTTACAAAAGGAACTAATCTTCTATAATCTCTCCGTTTCCCAAGTGGACAACTATCAAGCACCCTCCCTAGCATCAACCGCGTGTTTTGCAATGCTAATTCTCTTGCTGATAAACCCGATTCAGATGCATTAGATTGTCCCCCTGGTGCCGAACCTGCTCCAAACCCGAGGCCCATTGCAAACTGCAATGGTCCACTTCGAGCCTTAAATGAGGTTTGAGGTGCAAGACTCTTCTCTTCGGTGCTAACGAGCCCATACTCAAATTGCCCCAGCTCATTAGGATGTGATCCAGGTAAAGAGCTACAACTGTGTAAAAGCGCTTCCAACACACTAAGTGCCTCCCAACACAAAGGGCTTTCCACCAACTGAGATACAATTGCATATAATTGTGGACTCTGAGCAGCATCCATTGGAGTATGCTGAAGCAATGCCTTCAGCATAAGAAGGATAACACGATGATATTCCACTGGCCCTCTTTCAAGAAGCCGTAGGAGGTGCCCAAATGCCAGAGTTGAGTGCTTGGGGAACCATTCATTGCATAGTAATGGTGAAACACAAGCTAAAAGGTTTTCTATTCTTTTGATCTCACCACGGGAGTAAGCCATAAAAACAGTAGCTAATTCATCCATTGATTTTGATTGACACCACACGGCTATATTGGCTGCAACAGAGCAAGCCTTATGATGTTGCTGCTGTAGTGGTGACATAAACCCCATAACTGCATCCTGGCTGAGCTGTAAGCAGAGCCAGGGAAGCAAGCCTGTAATGTGCATCAAAAGGCGTGTTTCTGCATCACCGAAGATGGAATCGCACGAAGGCACTGTGATCCTCGATAGAAGCTCAACAGAAACACCATGACTGACAGTGGACATAAGGCCTTTAAGAACCAGTGGCTGCACTCCTTCAAAGACTGGGAACTTTGCATTTGACGCTGATGGCTCACAAGCATTCCGTGATTCCAGACGTTGGAAGTCAGAACTGTCAGAAACACTTGAATCAAGCTCATCTCGAGGCATACCTGAAAGAAGCACATTCTCTGTTGTTCGATCTCGGAAAGATAAACGGTCAATAACCCGACGAAAAAGCTCCAGCACTTGACAGTACACATGGACAAAATCTGTATGCATCATGGCCACACAACCCCAGAAAAGCTGGGGATAGAGTATAACCTTCTCTGGTTCCATATTCTCCACCATCACCTGTAATGTCAACAAGATCTCCATAACAAAACCTAAAACAGCTGGTATAGGATTTCCCAAGCACCTGTGAAGACAACGTAGCAAGGATACACATGCATCATTTGTTACACGAGGCCTTAGTGAACGGTAAATCTGGTGAGAGCGGCAGGCCAAATGCCTAGATGTGCACTCCATAGCCCATTTAAGTGCCTCTGCTCCCCAAGTTTCTCGAAGATCTCCTTGAAAGAAGATTGCGTCCACCATACTCTGCACCAGAGCAGACAAGAGTGCTGCACTTGGTAGCTCCGTCCTCACTACCGTGGGGTCCTCATTCTCCCACATCATGCTACCTCGCTTAGATTGAACATACTTTATGAGGCTTACTACTTGCTGCTTGTTCTCTCCATCATTATTTTCAACATCATATAACTCCAAATGACGCCCAGCAAGGGAATACAATAGATTAACAAGCAGATGCTGACAATGCTCCAAGACAATATCCTCCGAACTATCCATTGATACAAAAGTGACATGAAAGAGCAAAGGTAAATGCTCCCGGAAGTCCTCATCGTTCTCATAAGCAATTTCAGCAAGTAGAATCAAAGCTATGTCTGCATGAGAGAGCAAGTGCTGCTGATGTCCTTGCAATGCTGATTGAAGTTCTTTTGCGTTGATACCGTGCATAACAGTCCCAGAATGCAACCCATCATCCCCAGAATTTGGAGTGTCAATGAAATAGTCTCCGCTGTCTCGAGAGCGATGACGACTTCGCATACTTCCGGTTGAACTCCGTACTCCCATTAATGGCCCTGACATGTTGACCAGTGATGGAAGAAGTTGGCCAGACCGACCAGCAGTTATCGGGACAATATTCAACTCAGGAGGCATAGGAGTCAATGGGCCTGAGGCACTTCTCCCTCCAACAGCTGCTGTTCTCCAGCTCAAGCTCCCACTTGTGTTCCTTAGTGGACCATCAAAGGACCCGCGAACTAGTAAAGGTGACATGTGAGGTTGACTCTCTACAACTGATGCGACTTGAGCAACAGAAGGCCCCTGAGAAAATTCCAACACGATGTTTCCATTTCCCTCACCTTGGTTGGCACTAGGCCTCAGAGGTTCTACACTGTCGAGCATTCGCTGAGCCAGTTGATAAACCAAGTGATCAATAGTACGTTGGGGGCATATACGAGCTAAATATAAACTCACTCTTTTGGCAACAGAGAAGTATGTAGCAAATGCGCCACTTATTTCTGCTGATGCATTTGAATCACAATCTTCAATACCTTTTGCAATCAAAAAATCTAAAACTGGACTTATGTTCCTGGGTTTGCTGGCAATTGTACTCCAAAGCTTCTCAATTTCATCAGGAAATTGATCACCAT